GAATGGTGGGACCAGTGGTTACCTGAGGTTGGTGATGTGAAATAAGTCTGAAGAGACTCTGAACCTCCAGAGATACAAATTTCCAGCCATGACACGAAGTTAAGAGGTTTCATAAGTGTATCTTCTATTATTGAGGATATAAAGGTTTCAATTTATGTAAATTGTATGAGATATATGGAGGGCTCATTATATTATTCTATTTACTCTTCTTATACTAAAAACAAAATTTAAAAATCCTAGACTTTTATTCTCAGCTAATTCTTTACTTAGTGATTAAAACTATGTTTAGGAACTGCTTAAATACCTAAAAGACAGTTTTATGTAAATTCTTCTAAAAGTCATCCAGTTGATAGTATCGTAGGTCACTAAGAAGCTACTGTTCATCTTAAATTATTCTTTGTAGTTTTTAACCTATAACTTTCAAGTTGATTTCTCCTCTACCCCCCCAAAATAACCTTGAGGTCAGCTATATTCCTTAAAGCAATCAAGGATGAAACCATAAGCCAGCAATCTCAAGACAACTTCCAGAGAACAATAAATGAAACACCATAGTATAATCCATTGTACTCAATCAGATTTTCTTAGCAGAAAACAGCAAAAAGAAAGAAAGAAAGAAACACAATAGGGCTTATATTTTCTTTTTTGGTATATTCAACAGAGATTCATATGCAGGAAGTAGACCCTTTCCTTCTGTGCCCTCCTAAAAAGAGGAGACCCCCCCCCCTTGGCTACTAGACTAAAGGTGCAACAGAGCTAGATCTGTACCACTCTGGTGTTCCCTTTCACATCCATGTGCAGCAGGTCATGCCAGGCAGCTCACCACTGCAGGCCCACATGAGCAGTTGGGTTCAGTGGGAAACATCTCACAGGTGGTGAGGTCTGAGTGGTACCCAATCACCTAATCTATAGGCAGAAGTGCAATGCCTGCTTCTGTAGATGCTTAATAATATGGAAGAAATGAAGGCAAAGCAAGGGATGCTGAACTTTTGGGCAGAAGATGACTGGTTCTCGCTTTCCAAAGTTTGCTATGCTATAGGTACCAACTTGGTAGGCCCCCTGCATTAAGACCCCCACAGGGTATAACAGGTCAATTTGAGAGTCCCAGGACAGACTAAAATTTCTGAAAGGTGAAGGCTGTTGCCCTGAAACCAGAATAGATGGGGTATCCTAAGGCAACTTTGCTTAGGTGCCAGGGTCTCATGAGGGCTGAGAGCTGGAGAAAAGTCCAATCCCTCATGATCCTCTACACTGATTTGGAAACCTGGTTCTTCACAATCTGTGGCAGGCCCAAATCAGCTTGCAGTAAGACCTGTAGCCTGCAGCAGATATAGCTACCTACAGATCATCATGGACTGGGGTGAAGCCAGCTCTCCAGGACTCCAAGAGAAAGAACAGCTCAAGCCTGGGACTACCTGACCTGTGACCCTAGAGACAGGGCAGTATCAGAACTATTCTTCCTGTGCCTGCTCATCTCAGATCTTTCCATTTGCCCCTGCCTAGATCCCAGCTAACTCTACTTCCACATCAACACATTAGGTGATTCTAGACTGCATGGGTTCCAACTTTGGTATGAAAGTTTGAAGAGGCAAAAACTCTGTGGCTTTAAAAGCTGCTGTTAACTGAAAGCTCATTTTCAATGATATACAATCTAGACAGTTTATTCAGTAATGGACAGGATAACTCATACCCTGAAGCAGTTTCAAATATTTTATTCTGTGTACACTACTCCAGAGAACATAGATTTGAATTTAGTATCTATGGGCAGGATCAGTGTGTCACTGACATGAAGGGAAACTGTCCTGACCTAAAGGTGTGTTGATGCTAAAGGAGGTCATGGAGGAGTTAATCTCTACACTCAAGAGAATGCAATGTAGAAAAGCAAAGGCTGGATACTAATTCTTAAATCTCTCTCTGGCTCTTTAGTCATAAGTGGGAGTGAAAAGACTGACTCTACCTACAGGAAGATTTCTGCATGCAGGATGGAGTTTGTGAAAAACAGCTTCGCTCTTGCCTGCTAGACCAGAGTTGGGATCCCCCACCAAAATGTTAAATATGTCTATACAGTAGTATAGAAAATACACTAGTATGGACTATTTAACCACTTCCTGGTTTTTGTTCTCTTAGGACACTCATGCAAGGCTGATGTGACTTTGCAGGTTAGTTAACAATTTGAACAACCTTGTGGATAAATCAGTTGTGTTTTCGTTACAGGATGAAATACTTCAGGCTAGAAGCAAGTATTAGATAACCGGAATAAAAGACTCAGTGATGGTTCGACTAAGAGTTTATTAGATAATCAAAGTGAACTCAGAACTCAGGAGAAGAGACTAGTGGGAAGGGGTGCCAGCAAGTTGCCTCTATTTTGGGGGTTGGTTTTATCAAATGCTGAGGTAGTTATCAAATGATGAGGTAGCAATGTTTGAGACTAACACGAAACAAAAACAAAATCCCCTACACCCATTGTTCTAGGGCATACATTAATTTCCAGACAGGTATCACACATCTCTGAACCTACCAGATAATTCATATGTGAGAAAGACAAATTGAAGAGATAACAGACTGTTTGGAAGTGTGTGTTTGGTCAGACTTCTGTGGGTTGTGTCAGGGATGAGGGGAGGCTCATCAATAATGCTTATTACAGAGATCTTCACAGCAGGCACAGCTGACTGTCTTTACCTCTTTTGCTGTCCAAAACTTATCTTTTTCTTTCACACAGGAATGATAAGAAGTAAATGCCTTACTTTCACTAGAAATCTCAGAACTTATTTTGATGAAGGAAAAAGCCACACACACTAAGATCAGGACAGCTTTGATTCCCCATAAAAAACACAAAACACCTGTGTAGATAGTAAGCACTGTGCAAATTTTAATTCAGAAAGTAAAATATATATTATATATATATTTGACCTCAATTTTCAAAATAATTCTAAAAAGAAACCATTCTGATTTTTAAAAATCTGTGTGTTCCTCATTCCTGGAATTTTACCCAAAATGACTCTACAGTCATTTCACCTTTCTTTGAGTGAGAATGTAGTCAGCAATAACCCAAAAAAGCTTCTCTAAAACATATGCTCAAGTAATAATTTAATGGTGGAAATTCAAAATAATTACTTGCCAAATACCACATCTACCACAACCATAACTCAAAGAGACAAGAATCATCAATAGGCCCTTCCTAGTGGCCCAATGGGTTAAAACATAGCACTATGATGCTATTCAAGCCACTGCAGCATAAATTTGATTCCTGGCCTGAGAGCTGACCCACACAGCACAGCAGACATTTACTGTCTTGCCTACTGCTCCCCTCAGCAGTGTATTTCAGTGGATCTGCCTGTTCTGTTCCCCAATCCATCTCTAGTGAATCCTCCTACCTCCCAGACCTGGGGCCTATATCCCCATTCTTGTATGCATAAATAAGTCTTTAGAAAAAAAATCATCAATGGATGGCAATATTCATATGGAAGAGGGAATTTATAGTGTCATAGTACCCCTGCAGAATATCCTATACTTACAAAGAATAGAAATTGTGACTTTCAATAGGAAAAAATCTGGCTGACACTACTATAACAAAGATCAAAGTAACGGTCATGAGAAATATGACATATTTATATGTACCTCATGCTATGCACTGAGAAGGGTATATCTCTCCTGTGTTCCTGCCAAAAATGTGTAACCATTAGCTGATCATTAGAGAATATTGGTCAAATTCAATTTAGGTATGATCAATAAAACACACTGAATATTCTTTAAGTGCAAAATAATATAAGGAAAATTGTTCCAGATTGGAGAGGATGAAAGAGACAAAGTAGCTAAATGACGCATGGAATTCTGGAGTAAATGCTGAAATAAGAACAAAATATAGTGAAAGCATTGGAGAAAATTCGAATAAACGCTGTAATGAGTTAATAACTTTCTTCAATGCATAATCCCCTGGAGCTAAAGCGTTGCAACCAGGGTAATGCAAGTGTGCAAATGATTTGCAATGACAGGCTGCTACTTTTGGTGATACCTAGAACTTGAACTAGAAAGCTACTAATTTAAAATGGACTGTCCAAGGTTCACTAAAGACATAATAGTAATCGATATATCAACACCTTTAATAAATGTTAGCTCATATTTGACTCAATTTTCTTCCTTCTTGTAGACTATTAATAATTGCCTAGCAAAATATAGAAATAAATTAATATATAGATTGTCTTGCCTAAAATAGTAAAATCTCATATTTTGTACAAAATGGGGAAATATTGGTATAACACATGGATAATTACATGAAATTTTGGTTTAATTAATGACTGAAGTTTTTTGGCTAGGAGGTTAGCATCACTTGGAAATACAATATAAAGTTTTCCTTTTTTTTCCCCATTCACTCACTTTTGCATGAACTACATAGCTGTAATAATACAATAGATAGACATGCGAAAAGAAAGCAAGTATCTGCCCAAACCCATATGTTTTCTTTCTTCCACACTAACAGTTTCCCAGTAAGAGAAGGCTGTCTGCAGAAAGGTGAGCAATTCTATTTCCAGTAATTAGCCAAAAACAATGAGAACCCTTCTTTTTTAAAGAGTCAGATTTTGACCGTATTCACCTTATTCTTTCCCAACATCATTTCCTACTAAATTACATACCTAACTTGACCCTGAGTGCTCAATTTAAAGTTATACCAAGCTCAAAACCATAAACACTTCATTCTTGTAGTTATTTGTGCATGATTCACATATGCATAGAATGCATACCCCATATTGTTTTGTCAATCAAAAATGTTTTCTCTCTAATCATAATATACTACACATTAATGAGATGAAAGTCAACTATAGACTTAAAAAAAAAAACTTTATTCTAACAAATAATCTATAATATTGAAAAGATAAAAATATATTTTTATGATACAGAGGGTAGTAATTCTTACATTTTTCCCTTTCTTGAGTTAGATAATATATGCTTATGAATTGCAATCTTGCAATGTATACAACAATAATAAAGACTAACAAAGGACTCACCAGCACTTGGGTAACCAGGTGTAGAAGGGTCTCCTCCTGGATTCAATGACACCATGAAGGTTTCTTGGCTAAAATCTGCAGTCTTTGGTAAATCACAAGGGTCAATATATAAAAGCACGCCTCCAAATCCAGCCTTTTCCAATAAGGAAAGCTGAAAGAGAACAAATTATTAAAAATGTTACCACATACATGAAAAATTCATACTGTTATTTTATGAAAGCAACTATGATGATTCTCATTTTACCACTTAAAATAAGCAGACACTTCATATTTCTAAATATTAAGCCCAATATGAGTATTCTCTGTCCTAAATCCTTTGCGCTGACCTCTGAGATAACTCAAATAATATACACAGCTGAGTGAGGCGCCTCTTTCTCAAATGTCACTTCCTGACCTTCCAGTCATGAAACATTTAGAAAACACCTCTTGATTATATCATTATAGACTTATTTAACGCAAGAATTCCTGTTACTTAATAACATCACCTAGATAAACATGATAACACAAATGAGCTGAGTAGGATCCCAAGTTCTGTTTGTTGAGTTAATTGGGGTGGCAAGATTAGAGCTTGTTTACCTTAGTGTGACTTACCTGAGGTGAGAAATAATATTGCTATTCTTTTTTATTTCATGCAAGAAGAAAATTAGGAGATACTAAGGAATAATGGAGGTGGAGACCTTGACTAAAGGCCATGCTGAATATCAAGTTGTTGCTCGTTGTGTGTGACCCTAGTTAATGCTGACACTTTACATCCCAGTTACTGCTTATGTTTGAGTTTTTAAGCAACACTGTTTTACAACACTATGATTTAAGGCTATAGGCTCACACGTCTTCAGTAGTTTTTGAGTTTACAGATGATTAAGAAAGGCGGCCATTTATGTGTCTGGCTACACCACCCCACAGGGGCATGACTTATCTTCTCCAATCTTATATAACTTGCACTGATAGGTACATAGTAGGTGTGCAAGAGCTTAGTTAAATGGGGCCAGATGAGAAAAGTGCAGGCTTGGCATGGCACCTATTCTTAAACAAGAATGAACTCTGAGAAAATATTTAGGCTGTGTTAGGAAAAATAACTGAGGTGGTAACGTGTAGAAAAAGAAACCTGACACTGAATGTAAGTATACCACATTAATGGCACTTTCAAATGTCATTCAACCTCGTTCCAATTTTTTATGCAATGTACAAAGCCCTATATATATTTTTTTAAGATTCATTTATTTATGCATACAAGACTAGGGTACAGGCCAGAGGTGCAGGGGCGGTTGGAACATTCACCAGAGAAAGAGTGGAAAACAGAACAGGCTGACTGATGAAGTACACTGCTGAGGGAAGCAGCAGGCAGGCCGGGAGAGGTCTGCCGTGCCATGTTGATCACCTCCAGAGCAGGCTGGGATCGAACTCATGCTGAAGTGGCTTTAGCTTCTTAGTACTGTGCTTTAACCCATTGTGCCACCAGGGAGGTTCTCAAAGTCCTATTATTTTTAATAAAGAAGCTAAACAAATTATAATTGACTTTCATGTACCTTCTCTAACAAGTTATTCTGATCAGACTTCTGTCCATGTTTTAATAAAGAGAGAGAGAAGTTTAGGAAGAGAGGAGAAATGAGGAAAAAAAAAAGGAAGGATGCATGAATGAGAGTTATATTTAAGACTGACTCAATGCTCACACTGCAATTCTTAAGACTTAGGAAATTTAGATGCTGAAACTGCTCCTTTTCAAAAGAATGATCAATTGATTTTGAATGTTCTATTTGCTGTGGAAAATGTAAGAAAACATTGAGCTCTAGGTAGTAATTTTTAACATCAGTAATTCTATTTTATTACTAAAATAATTAATGACTTGACAGAAAAAGCTATAATCCAAAATAAAGGCAATCCCTTTATTGTATTTGTCAATAGATCAATTTTTTAAGGTTTATGAACATGTATACATGTTCTTACATAGAGTTCTTAAATAGCTTAGTGCAGTGCCAATTAATTTTCTAAGTTCTGTTTCTCATTTCCAAAGAAGTTATCTATAGAAGAGATTGCCTATGTTAAGTTGAGTAAAAATTGTTCCTAGTCATTGTTAGTATTATGTTTTTAACATCAACAGGTTTGGTTTGCCTACAGTATTCAAAATATCTATTATTCTGGTGATATATTTGTAAAATTGCACTCAAAGTCAAACAAATGGAAAAAAGGATGAAAATTCCTGTCACTCCATATGCTTCAGCTAGTGGCCAACTGTCCCTGGCTGCACAGGTGCAAGGTACTAGCCCTACCCAGAATCTCACAGCTTGAGAGAACTGCAGGTGTAGGTTGCCAATTTTCTGGGAGTCTAATTCTTAAAAGAAAAGGACAGATAGAAGGCTAGGATTTCCTGACATTAAACTCTATCCTTGGTATCGCTCCTGAATATAAACATCATCAGATAATATTTGACACGTTAGGCAGAACATAGACTAGAGACACAAAAAATGAGTCAGGTAGATGAGTTTTAGACCTGAGTGTTTTAGGTTCATGAGAGGGAGGACATGTCCAGTGGCTAGTGTGGTGCACTGGCCCAGTGGACTGCATCATTCTGGAAGGGTATTGTTACATAATGTACATGAAGTATCATAGGAGAAAATATTTTTTCTAAATCAATTTGAGACAGATATTTAAGGGAAATGGTCTCAAAAGGACAATGGACAATAAAGAAGAGTTTACCATCTATAGGTTCCTCACTCATATGAAAGTTCAAGATCACTCAGATTCAACAGAAAACAACAATGGAGCTTATTTAGCAAACAACGATTTCATAAAGCCACATGTGACCAGCTATCTTACCCCAAATATTGTCCACAGTCTAAAAGGCTGTCCATCCGAAATGGTGCCTGGAGCTCATGGCACTCTGGCAAACAGAGGGAGAGGATCCAACTCACCACAGCTAGATGTTCTCACAGCCCACTGAGATGACACAGCAGCAGCCCATAGCAACAGCCAGATGGTTGGGATGGACAATACCAGTCGTTTGGCCAGACAGCAATGGAGGCAGCAGTACCAAGAAGCAGTGTTGGCCAATTACCAGAATGCCAGTCACTCATTAATGATACTGGGAAGCACTGTTCACTAAGAGATCTCAGTGTCAGAAACACTGTGCCAACAGCTCTTTGTGCGTTGTTGTCCACACCACTAAGACAGAGCTCTCTGAGTCACTAGGCTGGGCGTAGATGCTCGTTTCAGGTGGTGTCAGTGATAGGTCAGAAGCAAGTATGTCTGGCCTGGCCTCTGTGAAGATTTTTGGCTTCTTTCTTCTTTGGAGATCAGTAACTGAGAGAGTTACTGCCTTGGAGTAGCAGTGCCCTTTCAAGAGTCAGAGCATGCCAAGTTTCTGCCTGCCCTGTCTTATACCCTCTTTCAGCATTCCCCACCCTTAAATCTGATTGGATCATTTTCAGTCTTATAGCTGATTGGGCCATTCCCCAATCAGTTCAAGTTCACACCTGGTCAGTCAGTTCTACAATCCAAGCACCAGATCTATGGGTCTCTATTGCTTGCAACCGGAGGTAGCCACAGCATTGGAGCCAGCTGAGTGGGGCTCCATGCTCCTCTCTGCAGCACTGACCAGGTGTTGCATGCCCTATGGCAGCATGATAGGGGAACCGCTGCCACCTGCTATCACTGCTGACCTCTGCCTATGGTCTTTGCCCCAGTGATGCCACTGGTTGCAAGTGGTAAAATGGTCACCACCCACAGCCACTTGCAGTGGGAACTAGGACCAAGCACCAAAG